ATTGGAATTGATGGATTTAGAAATTAGGGAGGATGGTCCTAAGTTGTTGGGTGCAGATGAATTGAACCAAAAATGTGAAGATTTTGTATATTGAAGAATCGAGGATGTGACTCGATAGAGAAATTTCATCCGTATTGGATTTTGGATGAGAAGTTTTACTTTTGATTTTAGAGAAATCTGTAGGCGACGACGACATGTCTAGTAGTAGGCGACGATGGGTGGTAGTAGCTTGGTTTAGTTGGGGGTGAGCGCTGTGGTGATATCCATTTTATTTTATTTCTTTTCTTTAATTTTCATTAAAACGAGAAATATGGGATTGACAAAAATGTCCCCACTTAAAATGGTCAAAATATTTATTTTTTTGCATTTTTCAAGTCAACTGAGGAATTTGGACTCTAAATGCATATTTTTAAGACGTTGGAACCTTAGCTAACAAAAACTGAATGTTAGGGAAAAGTTTGTAAAAAATGAAAAGGTTGGGGATCATTGTTGCAATTTTTCCTATAAAAATATATGGACTTCAAATTATTATACAATATAATTTATGGAGCTCAATTATTATAGCCCGTTGGGATTAAAAACAGAATTTTAGTAAATCTTGATAAAATTTGATGAAATATATGGTTAAAAAGTTGTGCATCTATTGAAATATATGATTAAAATTAATTGTTAACTTTTATTTTAATTAAAATTTAGATTTTAATTCATACTAAATTGGGGATAATATAATCTCATTTGGCATGATTTTTGTTTCTGCTTTTCCTCCCCCATGGAATGGTTACTGCTGAAATTATTTTAATTTTTATTTGGAAACTAATTTATAAAAGAACCTCTTATTCCAAAAATATTTTTATAAGAAGTCACATTGAACTAACTTTCTCTAAAAATCCTTCTAACTAAAAAAATATTTTTATAAAATAAATTAAGCGGTGCCAAAATTAGCTTTTGGTTCTCAATGGGTACTATCAATGGCGGATCTAAAAATGATGGTGAGCTAGAACTATTGTTGACTGTTGATCATCGATAATCAATAGTGAAATCGTTTATTGATATTTAATTAAAAATATTAAAAAAATCTTAAATCAATATATAAATGCACTAAACATAAAAATTATATACATATGAAAATATAATACTTATTACGTACTTATAAATTGTGGATTTTACGAAAATGTGTAGATAAATCATATATTTTGCCTAGAAGTTAAGCAGTGCCGAACAAACCCTACGCCAAGAATAAATTAACACACTTATCCACTTAGAAACATACATTTTAAACAGCAAATTATTGGATATGCTAGTGCCTATGAATTCCTTGTTACTTAAGATTGTTTCATCATAATTCAAAAGTAATTAGGTCCCGTTTGACCGCCAAAGATTTTTCATGGAAAATGTTTTGCCTTGTTTGAGACAAAAACTTTTCCATTGAATTATTTTTCTTGATTTGCTTCACACTGGTGCAATTTCCTTGAATTGGTTGGTTTTCCACCCAACTTTTTATTTTTAATTTATTTTATTTTTTTGGCAATGAAAAGAAATTTCATCCCACAATTGTGGAAAAAATTCCATTTAATGAATAATTTCTATGAAAAGCAAAGTCAAACGAATACAAAAAGATCCAAAATTTCGACATTTTTCATGTAGAAAATTATACCAATCAAATACAATTAATTACAATTCCCAATAAAATAATTTCTAGACAATTCAATTCCCTGTAATTCATTTTCTTTCCACCTATTTTCATATTTACAATCAAACGGACCCTTAGACTCTGAATCCCAGGGCAACCTGTACATATCACCTACTTTCCCTTTTCTATATATACAACAAACTCTCATCTCTCATAACATAACAAACAAGCATGTCAGCTTCTATATGTATAGACACACACACTCTCTCTCTCTCTCTCTCTCTCTCTCTCTCTCTCTCTCTCTATATACACATAATGTCTACTAGCTTATGATAATTGACTTTATATGGATAATTCTACAAAATATTGAGGGGTCCCTCCCTCCCCCTGTATATCCCTTTTTTAAGGC